GCGGGGGGGAAGCGCCCCCCCCCCGTGCCGCCGGAGGTGGCGACAGTGGGGGAGGCACCCCGCACTAGCTGCGCCCCTCCCCCGTTCATAACTAGGGGTCCAACTTAAGTCGGATTGACGTAACCCGGGGACACCCAAACATAACTGAGTAGTTTGCTCTAGTACCTTGGAATAAAGAGGAGTGCAAAACCCTGCATTTTGTTTTAGGAACATCTTGAGATCTTAAGTTGACTGTTATTACAGAAACAGGAGAGACACTTACTATACTTCTTATTTGCATTAAGGGTTAAGACAAATGGGTAATGGTAAATCTTTTTAAGTTGTGGAAAAAACATTGGTTAATAGATTTCTGGCTGATAAAAAGGCAGCTTTCTGTAGAAAGGGAGACATGTTGAGGTTTATTATCAGTGCAATGTGATAGAAGTACTGGTGATACTATCAAGAAGCCAAATGGAGCAGTTATTGGGCTAAGATCCTTGTTAGTTAGTGGACAAGGTCAAAGTGCTCGACTCCACTCAGTTATGTGTCAATTAGAGCTGTGGACAGGAAGTACTGTAAGCATCAGGATGCTCAGATAAAAGCTAGACCCGTGAGATGCTTGTAAGCCTTTGGTATGCAAATACAGGTAATGGCAATGGCAAATCCCACTATATTTGTGGAGCTGAGAAGCAGGCTTGTGTTGTGAAGCTAATTTACATATATATCTTTCATCAGTAAACAGTTTCTTTATGTACTGACACCTTTGTGAAAGACTATAATTCATTCTGAACCGTCCCTTAAACACCGTAGTCACACAACTAGTGGTGTTTTTGGTTAGACATAGCAAGACAATTTCCAAAATGATTTGCAAGCCTTAAGCACATCCTTATTTTATACAGATCACTTCCTAATTTTATGAGCTTTCAGCTTCACCACAGCAGGTACGCTTTTAGTGAATAGCCTCAAGAATTTCACAGTTCTGTTAGAAAAAAATGTTCTCTTGCCGATTGAACGAAGCTTTTCTCTTGCTGCCCAACTGGCAAAGAAATCTTTGCTCCAGCACAGTTTTGCTGACAACCAGATGAGCCAGATACACTTAAAATGCAGAATACACTTCTGGTCTTTCTTATAATTTAGAAACACGATTCCTCAATCTAAACAGAAAAACTGAGTTCATTCAACATCACTGCATTCAACCTGTCAAGAATCTTTTATTTAAAAATGACTTGGATGAATGCCTATCCTCCATTCAGACTATGCACACAGAAAATTACTACATCAATAAAAAGGGTTTCATAAGCCGGACCCTATGTTTAAAAGGAAATCAGTATTTGTGAAAAATGTCTGGTGGACTGAAAAGTTTTTCTTAATAATCACTGCATTTGGGCTGAAGCAGTGCATGCTTTTACACTATTGCTATCAGTATTTCTGTCTTTGCATGGAGAGACTATCGGTGGGGAGTGAATAGGTGGAGTTTCTCTGCTCATTTTTCGTGTGTGTGTGTGAATTCTAACAAGGCTGGCAGTTGTGATATAGACATTTGTAATATAGGAATTGGACTATAATCGTCAATCCATTTCAAATACTCCATTGAATAATCAACAGCTAGTAAGACTTACTGGTTGCTACTGACCTGGGCTGGATTCAAAGCCCATAAGGTACAAGGTTCTTTATGCCACTATCAGGTCCTTTAGCATCCAGGTTTGTGGACAGCAGAAATTCTTCATCATGCTTTTGTACTATTCTCAACTTAGTATGTATGTGACAGTACAATCGAATATAGGAAATGGAAAGCATAGGGAATGCATTTTTCTCTTTCATTCAAAAATGAAATTAACTGCAAAATGCTATTGTAATGTTAAGACTACACAGTTTAAAAAGAAGGTAGGATATGCTCCCTGGAGGCTTACACCATATATTTATCTGGCTGCGTCAAACATCTTCTGAAACCTATGGTGCACATCTAACAAATACTTTATGGGCCAGATTGTTAACCTATTGCTTTCATTGGTAACTCACAGCAAATTTCACAATGGGGCCATAAATTACCCATTTAGGGAAAAAATAAGGCTTGAAAAATACTCTGTAGAAATACTATGTTCCAAGTTAATATTGCTGTAAAAATGTTAACATTTCAATTTCATGTTTTTAAAACTATGCAATCTGAGTATGGCGTTAATATAAGTTCTGATTTCCCCTATTAATTTTACAATTTTAAGATAAGAACAAACAGGATTTACTAGACTGCTTAAATTTGAGTCTCAAAATCAAAACAATGAATTAATATAGATAATATGTTACTTTTTAATTGACACATATGTAGACATGCAGATGTGGCACTATGGTGCTCACTCTGGCATGCACTATCATAGGTAAATTGGGACATGTATTCTAATTAGGTCAAACATTTACCCATACACACTACACATCTAAATAACGATAAAAATGTCCATTTAAATGATACATTTAAATACTTGGCACTCACCAAAGTAATGAACTGTAGGTGACTATATCAGCTGGCCTGCTTAAGTGAAGCTGTTTTTTTAGCCTAGTTGGTAGGGCACAGGGATTGAAAAGCCTGAAAATCTTCATTCCTGTCTTAGTACTGACCTCTCCCTAGGAGTTCACTCATTAATATGGATGTCTACCTGCTAATTTACAGAGGTGTGGACATGTTTGTTCAGAATACGCTTGGTGTTGAAACACAGAATTATCAAATGAGTAGTGACAGTTACCAATTTGTTGCATTCATGAGCATTAATGCTGGCACAGTACAACTTGCAGGTAAGGTGTCTATTGAGCCCAACACATACCTTCACAAGATGGCCTTGGTACTCACATTTGTTCCTAAAACAAAAGTTTATTTTTTACCATTAAATGAAATAATCACCTAATTTGGATACATAATATGAAAAAGTGAGATGGAAAGGGGGTCAGAGCATGCACAGAGATATTGTAAAGATGAAGGTTACCCAATCTTAGTTGTCCTAGCACACCCCGGGGCTAGCTGATGGGGAATGGAATAATTTGAAATACTTTAGACTAGTGATCTTCATAGCATTCTAGAAATTTATCTATATTGAATCAGTAATTGAGCCTTTAACTCTTTTATGAAAAGGCCACATCTTTTAAGGGCTGAGATTGGTTTCTGGGATGGACTGTTAAGGATCTATTTTTTAATATTTTCTTGAGGCAAATATCATAGGCTGGGCACCTAATTGGGATATTCATGCTTGTGTTCTCCTTTTGGAGAATTTTGAATAGAAATTGTCATATTGTAATTGTTCAGCATTTACAGTTTGGAATAGTGACAGACTAGCCTGTGTTTCAATTTCTCTATCTCACTGAAATCAAGAGCAAAACTGCCAATAAAACAAGTATTTAGCCCTAAGAGATGACTCAAAGTCTGTAATGTCTCTGTGACGGGCCGGCCCCTGAACCACCGGCTGGAGAATTTTGAATAGAAATTGTCATATTGTAATTGTTCAGCATTTACAGTTTGGAATAGTGACAGACTAGCCTGTGTTTCAATTTCTCTATCTCACTGAAATCAAGAGCAAAACTGCCAATAAAACAAGTATTTAGCCCTAAGAGATGACTCAAAGTCTGTAATGTCTCTGTGACGGGCCGGCCCCTGAACCACCGGC